CCGTCCATCAAGATTAAATCTGGACCGTCCGATCGCGATTTAATTGTGATTAAATCTGGGTCATCCATCGCGATGCGATCTGGACCGTCCGTGCCTGATTGAATCTGGGCCGTCCGTACTCGTGAATCTGGGCCGTCCGATCGCGTGCACGCGGATCACCCACGTGGCCCGTCCTGTGTCAGCGTTTCCTTGCCACACGGCGTGTCCTGGTTGGCTGGGGCTGCTGACCGGGCTGCTGACGTGGCTGCTGACGTGACACAACTTTTCTAAATTGCGTTTTGACCCCCGGTTTCCAATTTTTTTTTTCAAAAATACCCCAAGAATTCAAATTTTCACCCCATTTTCCAAAATCAATTTCAATTAAATCCAAATAATATTTTTACCCAATTTTATCATTATTATTATTTTTATTTTCATTAAATTAAATCAAATTAAATTAAATTATAATCTAAAAAATTCAAGTACAAAAAAAGAAAAATAAATAAAAATAAAAATAATATAAAAAAAATATTTTGGGTGTTGCAAAACGGCTTGAAGTTGGCTCAAAAAGCAGCTCGAAGTCCGACAGATCTCTAAATATGCGCAAAAAAATGAAATGGCGCGGTCTTTTTCACCGGCATCTGTGGATGTGCGGCAGTAACTTTTTACCAGTGCCTGTGACGTGTGGCTGTATCTTTTTACTGGTGACTTTGGATGTACGACTGCACCCTTTTACTAGTGCTTGCAGATGTGCAATTGAACATTTTTACCGATACTTTTAGATGTGTGGCTGCACTTTTTACCTGTGTCTGCGGATGTGCAGCTGCAGCTTTTTACCAGCACTTCTAGAGTGCCGTTGCACTTTTTACCGGCACTTCTAGAGTGCAGCTGCACCTTTTTACCGGTGCTTGCAGAGTACGATTGCACCATTTAATCGGTGTCTGTAAAATGCGGGTTCACCTTTTTACCGGCGTGTAAACTGCCGTCGAAGATCACCGTAAACACTACAAAACTCATCGGCGGGTTCAAATCCATCTTGGGTGGTGATAAAAATAGATATGAATAAAAGGATATTAACCCAACATATTGTGTTATTTTAGGATTTGAAAAGAACCCTAAAATTGTAAGTCTAAAATAATTTTATTTGGTTTTGATACCATGTAGAATTTGGAGAAAAATATAATTTTTTTTTCTCATTTTTTAAGTTTTTACACTTAAAATATTTTATAATATTTCTATCTTACTAATAGATAAATTCTTATTCTAATAAATTTCTAATTATATGAGTTTATTATTCTCATAAAATCCTAACAACTAATTAAATAATTAACTAATTAAATAATAAAATATAGTATTCAACAGTTAGTATTGATTTTGTCAAGAATAAAGTGTTAGGTTTATTATTGAATAATATGACCCTATATATGTAAGTTTTTTAAAAGAAACTAATAATTAATTACATATGACATAATTTAGCATAATGTCCTCCAACCTATTTCTCATAGATTAATTACATATAAACTACATTGTTCAACACTCCCTTTAAGTTATGAAATAGATATTATCCATCCCATCTTAGTAATGATAGTCTGGAATGTTGAGTTATTCAAACCTTTGGTCAATATGTTTGCAAGTTGTGAGTTGGTAGATATGTACAATATCCATATTAGGCCATTGTTTAACTTCTCTCTAATAAAATGTCTATCAATATCAATACGTTTTGTTATGTCGTGTTATACTGGGTTATAAATTATGCGT